CACGCGCCAGGCTGCAACGTTCCCCCCCCAACCTGGGCAAACAGGTTGTGTCCACTTCACAGGTGGGCCAACTGAGGCACCGAGCATTGCCCCAGCCCCCCCCAACCCTGGCCCCATGCTTCCCACCCCCATGGCCTCTGCCCAGCTGGAAGGGTCAAGTGATGCACCCAAGGCCCTGCGGGGAGTCTGTGGCGGCATGGGGGGGCGGCACTCTAACCACTAGGCCACCCCCTCCCTGCACCCCAGCTGGGCTGGGGGAGGCGGGCATCTCAGGCCCAGCACGGGGGGAACAGGCGGGTATCGACCGGGCCGGCTGGGCTCCATTAGCCACACGGGCGGCGGCGGGTCCGGTTTCGCCCGTCTGGCAGCGCCACAATTGGCCCCTGGGGACCCGCTGAGCGGCTCCTCGTCTGGGCCCCGGTGCCAGCGCCTGGGAGGGGGGGCCGGGGAACAGCCCCTGGAGCTCAGATGGGGAAACCGAGGCACAGAGGGGCTGGCTCTCGCCACCTGCACCCACAATGTCCCCTGCAGGCCCCTGGGGCCCCCCATCATGTTCCCCCCTCCAGCTCACACTGAGACCCCCTCCCGGAATTCAGATGGGGAAACTGAGGCACGAGTGTGTGTGTGTGCGCGTGTGCGGGGGGGTTGACCTGTCCAAGGTCACTGCTGGAGCAGACAAGGACCCAGGACACACCCAGGGAGGCTGCGTTCTTCTCCCCAGCAGTGCCCTCCATGGGGGAATCGATGGCAGCCCGCAGCCTGTCCTTCATGGGGGGAGGACGGACACAGGTGCCTCTTGCATGCCTCAGTTTCCCCATCTGTGCAATGGGCACGTGGGGAAGCTCTGGGCTGTGCCATAGCACATAGGGGTGGGGGCTCTGCTCTCTGACTCGCAGCCCCCCCACCCCAATGCCAGGACACCCGGGTCCTACCCTCTGCTCTGCCTCTGAGCCACTGGCAGTGCCTCAGTTTCCCCCTGGAGCCGCCCCAGAGCAAGAGACACCCCCGCCCCCAGGATGGGCCCTTCCCACCTGCCCTGGCAGGGACGGGGCATGGAACAGCACCCACGCCCTGCCCTGTGCACACGCGTGCACACACACAGAGCACCCGCACCCGCACCCCTTGCCCCAGCAATATACACATGTCCCACGCGCACACACGCACACACCCCCATGCCACACACACCTGTCCCACATCCTCTGCACACCTGCAGCAGGGCCATGCCAGGCCGGCAGGGCAGGACGTCTCGGGCGGGATGCGTACACACACACACACACACACACGCACGCACGCACGCACACTTGGAGCCCCGTGCCCCCTGGCTGTGCCAGCCCTTGAG